TCAGTTAGCTGAGGCTCTTCCGGTTGCTGTTTGGAACACTTTGATATGTCAGACGTGTTGTTTCCTGAATCTCTAAAAGTATGATTTAATCTTAGTATTTATGTTATTTAGCATCATAAACATGTTCTTGGTTGGCTTTGGCATTGATTTAAAATTTTAAAATTCCGCTGCGCACTCGATGTCGTATTTTCCAACACTCGTGACCCTAGCCTTGGCGAACCCCACTCCCGCACGACCCACCTTCGACGAGCCCAGATCTGCAGGCACCGACCCCACCTCCGCGCGATCCACCTCCGGCGAGGGAATGGAGTGCGAAAGTCGTGTAAAATCATATGAAAGAAAAGAGAAAAATTGTGAAATTTTAATTTTAATTTTAATTTTGGTAGATCTGGGTTTCAAGGGTAAAATCGTCATTTCATATTACATTAAAAATTAAATGTCTCAACGACTGCCACGTCACACTTAACCTTCATAATTTAACAACATGGGCGGATAAGGGGGACGCGTGCTAACGGCGAATTGTTTAAGGAAAAAATTTGCTATTTTTAAACTTTAAGGAGAATATTTGCAAAACGGCAATAGTTCAAGAGGCATAAGTGTAATTTGTCATAAAAAATTTAAATTAAATGCGTAAACTAAACAAACCCTTAAATTCATACATGTATTTCTTTCTTTCTTTCTTTTTGTGAAAAAAAATTCACACTTGAATAGGAGTTTTTTTTTTAGGGTGATGAGCATATTTCTTAAATTTATAATTTTCCTTTTATTTCTCAGTTTTCTAGGGGAATCTTCTCATTTTTTTAAAGTGTTTTCTTTTTAATTTTTTATTGCTTGATAATGAAATATGAAAATTATGAAGATGATATATATTGGGATTGGGATTGGCTTTTTTTCTTTTTTTTTTTTTTTTGGAGAAGAAGGGAAATAGGCCTAATTAAGAGAGTAATAAGAATTAATAGTCCAAAGTTTAGAAATAGTTAATAAATAGACCATTTACTGTTAATCTGAATTTACTAGCACTTAAATTTATAAAAGTGTCCCCGTGTAAAAAAATTAAAATGATACCCAAGAAAAAACTAAAATTCTCTCTCTTTCTCTCTCTACGTTCGTTGTACTCAGGCTGTAAAATTAAGCAATTCATCAAATATCTACTAGAGAATCAGATTGTCTTACCCAGCACAAAGTAAGACCCGAACATTAATAGCCAATTGAACTGATCAAAACAATAATAAACTTAAGAGTTTCAAACCAAATGACACAAATTAATGGTTAAAAACATAACTTATAAATTTACATTCCGATCAACAATTTATTTATTTATTTTTTCTAGCACAGATTGCTTAAAATACATATATTCAAATTATTCTAGAAACACCATGTTCTCTTCATGGCCACCACAATACATGAGGTGCCGACTAACATTGAAGGTGGAGATCTAGAATGACGGCAAGAAGATATGGATGCAGATCAATGAAATTCGTCACTGTCGAAAGAGCTCGCATTTTCTTGACTACACTGTCGTGAGTCATGACGGCGAGGTCTGAGCTTAGATTTTACCAGAGGAGAGAGAGAAGTTAGGGAGGGTGGGAGAGAAGCAGGGAGATCAGAAGAGAGAGAGAGGGATCCATTTGGTGATGAGAGAAGAAAAGAGAGAGAAGTCAGCAGAGAGAGGGCTCTAAAAAGAAAAGAAAAGAAAAAAAAAACAACAAATCCTATAAAAAGGGTAAAATTAGAAGATAAAAGGTTTAAAACTGTAAATGGCCTATTTATTTCTAACACTCAGTAAATAAGTTATTTACTTCCACAAGTTTTAAATGTTGGCCTATGGACTACAATTTCTCTTTTTTCACCTCTTACATAACACATGCTTTTTCAGTTGCTTCCTCGTACAGAAAATGGATAGCAATTCTGAGCCCATCTAAGAGTGGTGACCATTGGTGGAATATAGTCACGAGTGTGTAAACTAATTAAACCGATTATTTTGAGTAAAATACAAATTAAATCTGTTGGTAACCGAATCGAATTCGGATGCGGAAGCGTAGCAGGGAGGCGGATCGTGTATAACAAAAATTTCAGAAAACTTTTGAGATACTCTATAGATTATATTAATTTATGCATGAATAAATTAATCACATTAATTTATATATATCAAGAACTCAATCATGAAAAAATACCTGAAAGCCGACTCGGATGATAACTTGAGTTCTTTGATCACGAACAGTCCTTGCTCCAATCTTTGTGTTTAGAAAATCAAAGTCTTCCACGTCAATTCCTTGATTCCACGTAAACGTGTGTGTGGGCACACGTGGGACAAAACAGGTTTCCAAAAACACTCGAATTTCTACAAACACCAACGCATGCACTATGTGAAATTTTTGGGAGAAAAAATTTTCTTCTCTTTTTCCTTTGAGAAAATTCGGCCACACTAACTCTTAGGGCAGAAAAACTGTTTTAAAAATTGTGTTCACAATTTTCTATCATTCTCATATTTAAAGAGTAGAAGTCAAACTTCAAAAAGGAATTATATCTCTATCTCCTATTTTGAATTTGGAACAAAAAATCTCCTACACCTTATCTCTAATGTGGCCGGCCACCCTAGGGTTTTTCTCCCTTGTGTGTGGCGCCAATTCTGGATAGAGAAGGGAGAGAAATCATCCTTTATCTTGTAGTCCAATTTTAATTCAAATTCAAATTTAAATAATCACATTATTTAAATAATAATTAATTCTCAATTAATTATTTTTCGAGCATTTAATTTTAGAATTTCATAATTCTAAAATTCCCATTTTGTCCTTTGTGTCTGGTAGAATTACAAGGACAACACGGGGACTTATGGACATATAATCCCGAGCTCCAATAAAATTAATAATTAATTAAACACTTTAATTAATTAATCAATTCTATTAATTCTAATAGTTACTCCACTATAAACTTAGAATTGAACTCTCGAAATTATAGACATTAATTACTTCTAAACTGTGAAGTGCCCATTTGATATAGTCATTGCATATAGATCAATCCTCCATAAATAATTCATAATTAGAGTCAGGTAAAATCCGTTAACCTCTTTAATTATATCTGCATCCTTGAGTACCATTGATTCTCTAATGGATAGTGACTCATAAAACACATTCATGAACCAGAGCGCTCTTACTAATCCAAGTACCGAATCAACACTCAAGAGAATTATTTATCTACTTCTTTCTCAAGAAGGAATGGATTCCATCTCGTATAATAACATTCCCAGCTACCTATTTCATCATGTCTCCAAAATACAAGGAATAGGATTCAGGGTCTCAGAATCCGTACTGAGTAAACTAAAAGACATAAATCCATAATTAGGAGTTTGTTAAGGAGCTCAGGATTAAGATCATTCTATATATGACCATCGGTAGACTCAATTAGAATTTCTATGCTTAACGGAAATTATTAGAAATTCATATTGTGTCTGTGTCCCTGTTCCACACAATCTCATTATGCGAAATACACTAATTCAATATCTCACCATATTAACAGTGCGGATAACACCATTCCATTCTAAATGGGAATGACATGTATTAATAATGTTTTAATTAAAGATTCTGAACTTTAATTAAATTCATTATGAACAATATTTTTTATTATTATCCTTAAACACTATCCTCTCGTATATAACACTTATATACTATGTTTAAGGTTACATAAATAATCACGGAATTTTCATTTGATATTCATAAAATATTCATAAATATATGCACATAAAATGATGAATAAACTCTTTTATTAATTAAATAATAAATATCCTGTTATATCTTATGCTTTTAGGACATTATTCCTAACAAAATCAATTAAAAGTTAGTTTAGAGATTTTCAAACTAAATCAAACCAATTAAAAGATCAGATATAATTCAAACTAAACTAATTATAATTAAGTTGATTTGGTTTTTCTAATTAGTTTGAACTAATATTTTACGATCTATTTTTAAGTCTCAACTGTAGTTAGTATTAACATTTTGTATGATAGATATTCCATTATTTCTTAACTGTAACCATCAATAGCTAAAGAACGAAATATCTAATTCAAACAGAAATCAAAACATTAAAAGTAAAAAATTAAAATCATGAACAAAATTAAAACTTTCAAATCCACAAATTTATCTTTAATTCTAAACTCTTTAGACTCCTAAAAAAATGCTTTCTTTGATATAATTGCAAACTTCTTCCATAGTTCATAAAAATCTGTAAATGGATAAGTTACACATAGATAAGATATATATAATTTTAAGAAAATATGTATAGATAGAAATTGATTTGGTTTAGTTTAGTTTTATTAAGGATAAAACCACAAACTAAACTAATTTAATTGGTTTTTTTTTTAAAAATTTAAACCAAATCAAACCAATCAATTATTAACTAGTCTGGTTTGGTTTTCTTTTAGTTTGGTTTGATTTGGTTGGTTCGAACGGTTTGAATGGTTTGTTGCACACCCTTAGATATAGTCTTTTTAAAGGAAAAAACGGATTGAAAAATCAATTATTAACAACAAAAAAAAGGATGGATAAATCATAAATCAATTATGAATATAGCAATTTTGGAGTTTATCAAGCACAACCAGGTGGGTCATTCTGCAATTAATCTAAGCCACAACTAATGTAAGGAATAGCAAGCTCTGAAGAATAGAGACAAGATAAATAGGTTAGGTAGGAAGTGAAATCAAACTTTGTATTTAGTCCTCAATTGGGCCGTTTTTGTTTGGCAATAAGCTTTCTTGTGTTGCTCTCAATTTGACAGCTATTACAGGTGCTATCCACAGTTCTCAAATAATATGTGTATATATATATATATATCCACAAAATATGTGTATTTTTTGTGTACGTCATAGTTATAAGTAAGAAAAAGACTTGATTCTTCCCATCACAGTATCAATATACAAACTTGAATAGGACAAATTCAATGTAGACAAACAAGAATATCAATAATAATGATTATAAATAATAAAATACAATAACACAAATCCATATATATATATATATATAAGTTTCAAATATAAGAGATTCATTCTATTTATTACGTTATATATATGCGCACAGCACATTCCCAGCCCACCTAAAACTATCTTCATAACACTCTTGGCCTCCTTCCCTGCCCTCTTCAATAACAAGGCAAGGCCTTCAGAAAATTCAAACATCAATTCTGTGGAATATCGACTAGAAATATGCATACCAAACAGCTCAAGCAGATTTTAGTCTTGGTACTTACATAATCAACTGTAGGGTCCACAAACGAACAACTATAACATATTCACACTGTGATTTCCAGACACATTATGAACAAGTGACCTAAAAGAACTCGCGATCGGGGAAAAACAAAGGAGCCACAATGGACCATACAAATAGCGCGGCAGTGACCCACCCTGTGCAGATTCGGACCCAAACAGTCGTCCACCCAATGTCAATTAGGTCCGAGCTCTCAGATGAATTGGTCCATCCCGAAAGAAGCATCGCCGCATACATGCTAGCCAGAGCAAATATCAGGTGGAAGAATGAGTAGGAATAACTAACGGGCCGCGTTTCTTTTTCCTTCTTTTCTTTCCCTTCTTCCAACTCTTCTTCAAGAAGAGGTTTCTTTGCACCTGTGTGATGGTTTTTGATATTAGTTGACAATTTTATCCGCAATAACCAAGTAACATGAGGTTAGACTCATGGAGCATAACGGTATTATTATTTGAAAATTTTTAAAATCCGATCAAGGGAATTGGAGAAAACTGTTATAAGAAACTGGTTGTTTGGAGAGCAAGAAATTGTCAACCAAGAACTCAATTGGTCAAGTTAACTACTTTTAACAATATGATCAAGTTTGGTTTTGGATACCTGACTTGGGTGAAGATGGAGGTGATAAAAAAGTTGTCGATGATCCAGCACGAAGTGCAGAATATAAAACTGAGAGAACAGTTGTGAGCATCCCAAGAATAAGAGTACTTAGGGAGACTGCTTTGGATTTGTTCAGACCATTGCATTTGTAGTCATGAGGTTCGCTGGAAAGCCCCGTGTAGCAAACATAAGCACAATAAAGAGATATCACAGATGCAGGCAAGAGGCTGCCATTCACCTGTTTCCACACGTTATCATCACACAAGTCAAAATTACTACTATATTTGAAGCTCAGTAAAAAACTGTGAGACCCCATAACCGCAGGCCTGTCTAGCCGTTGTTACAACACTAATTACAGAAACCAACCCCATTATGCAAGCGAAAGTTTAAATAGCTGATTTACATTTTTTACTAAACAAGCATAAACTCCAAGAACGATGTTACACGATCATACGAATTAAAGGATCTGGGACCTGGAAGCTTATGTAATAAAAATTAAATATCACTAAATATGAAAGGCAGAGAAGATAATGAAAGAAATCTGATCTACAAGATAAATAAATGATCATTTCCAGTCATGTTATGGCATTATGCTACCCCGTTCATGCATCTCTCTCACTTCTCATTTTTGTATAGAAGAACAATTTTTTTATTAGCCATGGGATTTGTGGCTTTTACAGATGACTTCCTAAAGTCTATCTATCTATCTAGTAATGCAGATAATCTAGCCTGATATCACTTTTAGCAAAATAGTTTTCTGCTACTTTTCTCTGGAAAAACACATAAAAAGATGATAACCTAAAAACTACCCATGTACATCAACTCATGTAACATGGAAACTAGTGTCATATATGATATGAATTTTGTCTGTGCTGCCCTGCTCATATACGACAGGGTATGAACTTAAATAGATATTAGAGAGAAACAGGAAGATAGATATTAGAGAGCTTTTGTAGAATATCATCTGGAAATTAATAAAAAGCTTGATAGTATATGAAGAACAGTGGAGAAGTTAAATCAACCATGATAGTGAAACAAGAATAATACAGTTCTGCACTTACCGCTGGGTGTAAGGCAATAATCGCAAATGCAAGAGCAAGAATCATGGTCATGACAATAAAGAAAACATTAAGGCCACAGTCTTGACCAGAGGGATTGAACCAAATGAACAGAATTCCAGAGAATGCAAATGCCGCAAGGTAGCATCCAACAGATACAACAAGTAAGGCAATATACCTAAAGCATATACAGTTATCTGGTTAGGGACCAAATACGGGCAGAAATTAAGGAAAACAATGGTGAAATATATGATTAACTTCTTGAACCAACCATTTCTGTTCGTCTTTCTCAACCCAAGCATCATTCCACGAGTGAGTGAAGTCTAGCAAGATAATCACTTGAACAAGTAAAAATAGACCTGCTCCGAATTTTGATAAAGTTCCTGCAAGTACATAAAATTTTGCACAGAAAACACCAAATCTAAGAAACAAAATTATAATTTGACAAATCCCCACGTCAATGTAGAATACAATAAGACAAGAAACTAGAAACCCACTCATGAGAACAGAAAACAGAACTCCCAGATATTGATCCCATCTAATATCTCTGTATTTATGCCACAGAAGACAATCTGGGCAACAACGGATGTCTATGGGTACAAGGATATTTGCACTCATGTTTCCCCGGGTAAGATGTTTAGTCCACTTTTCATCAAAAAAATGTTTAGTCCGCTCACGAAACCGCAAAAATCAGGGCTCACAAAAGCAGAAAAACAAAAGAGAGGTATCCTACTTCTCTCTTCAAAATGAGAAGCACACAAATATATCAAGCCACGCTCAAACATTTCTCCATTATACCATATCAAAGAGATGAATTAGAAGGTAAGAATACCAATATCAATGTTGATATCATAAAATTAATGACAAAAATTTTACGTCAGCAAAATATTAATATTTACTTCCTTGATAACTAAGAGTTGCCTTAAATTAATATTAACTCTCCAAGACCTAAGTAATGACTGACCGTAAAATGAGATGACGGCATCTGGAATGAAAAACATGAGAACAACAAGCACAAGCCATATCACCATCTTTGCAATCCAACCACCATGATGCCATGAATCACGCCGGTCATTTTGGTCCTTTACCCCGATCATTATAAGAGCAAATATTGCGAAAAACAAGAAATTCCCCAAGCTCACACGAAGAACCGCTTGTATTTGATACCATTCCTTTGTGTGAGTCTCGGATTTGCTTATCCCTATGATCAAACAAACAGAAAAAATAAATTCCATTTTCAACTACATCGTAATGCAATCGCCATATTCAGCTACAAGAACCATCAATTTCAGCTAAATTTCTAACTATCTGCATTTGAATCACTAAACCCAATACGGAAAAATCAGAATTAAACGCAAAGGCTGTAATTTTACTATTTACCGAACTATTCCAAGCAAAAATTCGAATATAAAACAACCCGTACTTCCAAATCTCCATATTAAGCTATGAAACGACTGATTTTAGCTCAATTTTGTAATTTGCCAGAGAAAACGATACAAAAACACAAAAAATGAAATACCAGAAAGTCTGCATTTTTATCACCAAACCAACCAACACGGAAAATGCAGAATCAAACGCAAAGGATGTAATTTCATTATTCAACAAAGAATTGTCCCAAGCAAGAAAGTGGAATAGGTCGCTCGGAAGATATCATAATTCGAAATTCTGGAGCAATAATCATCATTTTAGACGGCCAATTAGTTAAACAATAACCAGGTCGAAACTCGGGAAAAAAAAAGTGTTGGGAAGAAATGAAAACTGACATGGGAATTTCTCGAGGAGAGGAGCTCCGACTTCCCTGAGAATCCAGGAAACGACGAGGGAGACACCGAAAAGCCCACAGTAAGCGATTCTCGCCGATTTCTTGGAGATACCAGACGCTACCGACGTGCATAGACCGCACGTCGCCGCCGCACAGCAAGAAGCCAGGCACGACATCTCTATCTCTCTCTCTCTCGAAAGTTTCTGAACGATGTACGGTCTGGTAAGCCTGTTCGAGCTATTCAAGAGTAGGACTCGTAAGTTTTGGAAAGAGGAATGGTCGGTTGGACTTGTAAAAATAATTCAGATTTGTGTCCCCGACGTTATGATCGTTCTCATTTTGCCCCACTAATCTTTAGATTATTATCACCGGTGCTCATGAACTTTAAGATTATTCTCATTTTGCCACTCAAATCTTAAAAACTCTCACTTTACCTCTTAAAATTTAAATTCTTCTCACTTAACACCTTTTGTTATAATTTACGTAAAAATAAATAGAAAAAAGAGAGTATATAGTCACATGGTCTTTCTATTTAAAATTTTCTTTTAAAAATAAACAGATAAAAATAACATGACAACACTTAACCCCTTTTAACGTTTGAATTCTCCATAATTCCTTATAAAAGGGCTTAAATGAGACAAATTTAAAATTCAATAAATAAAGTGAGAGTTTTCAAAATTTAAAAGAGAAAATGGAAATGACTCTAGAGTTTAAAATTTGAGATGTTTGGTTCATGGATTAGAATCATGTGATTAGAACCATTTTTTATTTATGTGTATTTTTTGTGAGAGAATACACTGTAGAGAATCATGAATCATGATTCCAATTATGGTTTGAATCCTCCAACCAAACATTCCCGGCTAAAAGAATGTTAACACCCGTAGAACCCCACCCTAGATCTCGACGGACAATGCCAACTTACTTAGCATAAGAATCATTCAATTTTTGGTGAATTTGATAAATATACTTTTATGGTACTGTTATTCAACTATATTAGCTTCGTGAAAAGTTTGAAATATACTACTAAAGGATAAAAAAATAAAATTGATCCCAAATCAAATATAATTAATTACTAAAAACTCGAGTTAATTGCAGATAAACTCGAATTAATCATCGATAAACTGTGATTTATTACTTATAAATTCTTGTTTATCGATATATTAAAGTTAAATCACTGATAAACTATAAAAAAAATTAGTGTGACAATTATGTTTTTTTCTTTCAATCTTTTCTCATAGACTTGTCATGGTCTGATCTTTTCACAACGCGACTGTGCAACACTTAGCACTTCTCTTGTGCTAAGTGAGCCGTACAAACCCCAAACACATGGATAGGGAAAAGAGCAAGAGAACAGAGAATGAAAGTTTTACTGGAAGAAAACGCTACTAACTCAAGAAAAGGAGTATAAATGAGGAAGTTGTTTTGGATGGATATATGGGGTTTACATTCATAGAAGTTGGTCCTAAATGAAGAACCTTCTTCTTATTTATAGGTTAAGACTTAAGGGGCCTCCTAATGAATTATCTAGATCTTTATAAAGTTTTGTAAGCCTAAAAACTTCTAATAAGCTACCTAGTTACATTTAAATTTACACTATTTTCTAGAACTTTTCAGATTGTTTTTTATAAATTTTACAAGTATTGTGAAACTTTACCCGTTTAGTTTGTCGATTTGAGTTTTTAATTTGAGTTGAGATGTAACTTTATGTTAGATCTTTTTTACTGTAACAAAAAAGTTAGATGTGATTATTTTTAAGAGCTTTTTACTGTAACAAAATTTGAATTCTAAACTCAAATCGGTGAAATAAACGAGACCTTAAAGAGTTTTAAAAACTTTTAAAAAATTCTATAAAGATCTCAACACTTCTAGAACTTTCTAAAATATTCTAGAGTGTAGTAGAACTTTCTAAAACGTTAAAGATTCCTTCAAAGTGTCTTAATTTCACTTATACAACCCATAAAGAGTACTCTAGAAAATTTTAGAGTCTTCAAACAAGTTTTTTCAACAATAAATTCTTTCATTTTACCAATTTAAGTTTAATTTAAGTTTTGTTATAATAAAAAATTTTAAAAAATAATCACATTTAATTTTTTTATTACAGTAAAAAATTTTAACATAAAATTATATTTTAACTCGAATTAAAAATTTAAATTAATAAATTAAACTGGCTCAAAATATGTGCAGCTCGTGACAAACTGTCCCAAAACACAAACAAACAGACGGCTGCGTATTCACTCATTTCCACGATGTTCCACTCCTCCTTTCCAACTTTCTTGCTTCCCAAACAGAAATCCCATTACTCTCTCCCTCTCCAAATCCCCTTCTCCAATCTCCATCCTCTTCACAATCACCGGATTTCTCAAACAATTACGACGATTGGAGATTGCAGCAGCTTAGCACAATCTCCAGAGATCTTGCCGTTGACGTGCCGTCACGCCTTCGCTGGACCTCCTCCGTTCAAGGCATCTCCAATCCCGGTGATGTTGCAACCGTCAGTATTGTTGTTTGGCTGAAAAATAAGAAAAGGAAGAAAGAAGCAGTTTTTTTTTTTTTTTGATTACTTCCCTGAAATTAAGGGTAATACAACAGACATTCTAACCCAGAGAAATGGTGCGTATCAAAGAAGAATACAGAAAGTGATATAAACCATTTCACTGTCAAAAGTGGTACGGTGCCTAATTTCCTCTTCATATTTTTTCTGGTTCAAATTTGTTTATGGTGGGAGTATTGGTAAATACGTGTATAGCTTCTCTATTTTGGTAGATTTCATTTGTTTCTAATCGAAATTTTGATAGGTGAAGTAAGACTTGTTGATTTCACCGATTATAATTTTTAATTTTAGTTTTGTTACAGTTAAAAATTATCACAAAAATCACATTTAATTTTTTCTATTACAGTGAAAAATTTTCACATAAAATCAGATTTTAATTCGAATTGAAAACTTAAATTCACAAATTGAACGAGATCTAAATAAATTAAGTGAGCGTTTTTAAAAGTTGAAGTCTAACACGAGAATGGACATAAAAAAGAAATAAAGATAGACTATATTATTCAATTTTTTTTTTTGTGTAATCAGCGCACATGATTCCAAATTTTTTAGTAAACAAACGTGTTAAACAAATCAGGGCCTGTTCTGTCCACTGATTCGAGTTTTTAATTTAAGTTGAGATATGATTTTATGTAAAAAAATTTTACTATAGTAAAAAAGTAGATATGACTGTTTCTGTAAAACTCAAATTTTAAACTCGAATGGTGAAATAAACGGGCCTCAATTACCACGTTTGTGATAATAGAGATGAACACTACCACAATGGGAAGAAATCTAAGCATGTGTATATTTTTATGACCTCTTGCGTTGAGTTGTTTAGAAATGTTGTTTAGGTCATGTTCGCTTCGTGGATTTGAGTTTTTAATTCGAGTTGAGATGTGACATTTTCTGAAAGTTTTTAATTATAATAAAAAAAATTAATTGTGATATTTTATAAGAACTTTTAACTATAAAAATTTGGTAAAAATTTAAAATTGAAAACTTGAATCTAATATATTGAAGCTGCTTGAAACTTGAACATCACTTCACCATGTTTGATGCAGTTGCGTTTTATTGCCATCAACATGGCAAAGACGCATGTTACCACTATATAATAGAGATAACAATTCCTTGAAAATACTCGGATTGCATAGTTATGGTTTATTAAAAAGTTGATTTACTTTTGACGTGTATTGAAAAAAAAAAAAGATGTAATTGACAAGGGTTTTCACTAATTGGCCAGTTCGGTGGAATAACTTTCATCAACGTTAGTGCGAAGATGATAGAAAATCTTTAATTCTTTACATAGGGTAGTTGGGAGAATAAGTTTTCACTAATGTGGGGGCTTTTGTAAGTTTTTTTTTTTTTTTTTTTTAATCTCTAAAAGCGTAAAATCATAATAAATGTTTAAAGAGCTTGTAACTTAACAAAAAAAACTGTTTAAACTATATCAACTTTTGAAATTAACTCAATTCTTTTAAGCAAAAGTTGAAAAAAATAGCCTTAATTAATTAAAAAGAAACTTGGTTCTGCTTATTTCAGAGATTTTTTTTAATACAAATTAGCTGCTCTCAGGATTCTTATTCTAGAGAATTCGGTTATATTTCTTCGTTGAGAATGAATTTTAGTTTGTTACTCAAAATAAAATTGAAACTTCCTTTATAAAAAAAAAAAGGAAAAAGAAAAAGAAAAGAAACTGCTTCGATTTAGATGTGTAGTTTGTAGGAAAAGTGTATTGAAATTTCCAAAAACGTTGCGAAATTTGGTTTTGAAATTTCAATTATCTTTTAGAAATACTCATGATGCTTTATATAAAATAAAACATAACCGGAAACGTACTGAATTTAAAATCAACAATTTTTTTTTACCAAAATATGTTTTAAACAATTTTTGAAACAAACATACAATTTATGTAATTTAGTGCGTTTAGTTGGTGGATTTGTGTCATAGTTTGGATCATGATTCGTGACTCGTTATAGTATTTTTTCTCATAAAAAATATACGTAAATCGAGAATAATTCTGAATCTATTAACCTAACGTTTATTTCTACAGGACAACGCAATCCAACACGCGCTATCTTTTCTTCTACTGTCGTTTTTTAATTTCATATTGTCGTCTAGTTTTATTTTTTTCGTTGCTTAATCCTTTAACTATCGTTTTCTCAGTTAGTGCGGTTTCAGGTTACTCACATTAGTGTCGTTTTATCAATTAATATGTTGCTTCTAACTTTTTGTCGTTTTCCGATTTGATGTCGTTTTTTGGCTTCTACTTGATGTCGTGATTTGTTTACTTACTTTTATCACTTGTCGTTTATCCTTTAGTCGTGATTTTGCATGCGATTGTCGTTTTGTCAATTGCTTTAAACTTCAGGGACTGAAACAATTAAAAAAGTTAATTTTCATAAATAATCTCTAAACTTTAGATTTTTTTTTAATTTTAACTCCTTATTTTTAGAGATTTCGTCAAATATCTAACACTTAACTAACGAAAATGTTGAAATGAAAAAAATAGTAGATTAGGGATTAAAAATGACAGAAATTGAGGATGTAACACAAAAATTATTTGCGTGATTAACTCATTTATTTATTCGCAATATTGTCGTCAAAGGTTGTTGTGTTTTAATTTTGTTTTTCAATTGAAGTCGTTTATTCCACTTTATGTCATTGACGTTATTGTCACTAACGAAATTAGTGTTGTTTATCTTATGGTTTCGTTTCCATATTATTTTGTTTTTCATGGTATTGTCATT